ATAAATTTTTTTAATTGAATTTTAAAAAGAGTTTGGTTATGAGTGTTGATCAGAATTTTCAATAATGTGAAAGTAGTGTGTTTTGTTATGAGTTATAAAAATTTGAATTAAGTTTTAAAACCCACCACCCGCCACCACTACCCACCAGCCACCTGCCACCCACTAGCCACCACCCCCCCCCCGCCGCCGCCGCCACCCCCACCCACTCGCTACCACCCATCACCTGCCATCGTCACCCACCCACCCACCATCACCACCCACCCACTACCACCCGCCACCTGCCACCACCACCACCACCCACTCGCTACCACCCACCATCCGCCACCCACCACTGCCACCTCCCACTCACTACCACCCACCACCGTCACCCACCCACCCGTCACCACTAGCTACCCACCACCCACCATCACCACTTTCCACCACCGTCTTCCACCGCCACTTGCAACTACTTGTCATTTCTCTCTTTTTTATATTTTTAAATATTTTGTCAATTACCAAACGCGTTTGTAGTTTATGTTTTTCTAAAAATAAATAAAAATCAATTTATAAAATTTTTTTCAATTTTCGCAACGAGGACACAAGAACAGCCATTTGTGCTGAAATATGTTGACGTGTATGTGTATTCGTTCACACACGAAACCGGTTTACCGGTCAAAACTAACGTATGAAAGCGTTGACCATCCACCCTTAAAATGCCACCGGTTTGTACTGTGTTCCGTACGAGTCATTCATAGGAAAAATTTATAAATTCTGTCATGTAATAATTAATTAAAATATTAAAAATAACAACCTTTATATATTTTTAAATTATTAATTAATTATATAATTTACACATCATTACATTTATAAAATGAGTTTAAACATTAGATTTATATATCATTTTCTAATCTGATTTATTCAATTATTAGTGTAGTAAGCACATATCTATATTTGAAAGCCAAAAAAAAATTCATTAAACAGAAAATATATACATATATCTGTATATAATAATGTGTTGAATTGGACCATTGTGTTTTTAATATTTTGCCATGGTTTGGCTAATATTTTTGAGCTAAATAATCACAAAAAAAATAAAATAAGCTATATAAGTTAATAAGACAAAATACTATTTTTATCCAAAATTATTACACTTTTTTTCTCACAGAAGTTTAAAAATTCTTAAAATAAAAACCAAACGAGGCTAAAAAAGCCAAGTTAAAAAAGTCTCAACATAAAAAGTTGGCTAAAAAAGCCAATGCCTAACGAATTCTTTATTTTTTATTTTTTACTTTGTTAGGATAAAATTATTATAATGAGTCGATGCATTAAACATATGCTATTTTTTATTGAAAATTTTAGGTAAATTGATGTAATATTTTAATTATTTTTTGAGTTTTTATTTATTAGGATAAAATTATTATAAATAAGCATATTATTAGGATAAAGAAAAAATTATTATTCTGTGGAAATTGTATAAAATTATTACATATTCGTGACAATGTTTATGATTTCAATTATTAATATTTGCAAGTTTTACCATTTATTTGTAAATATTTTTCAAAATTCCTCCTGTCCTAAAATTTTCTCTTAAATAGACGCTAAAAAAAATAAATTTTTTTATTGAAAAAGTTTAGGTAAGTCGATGTAATATTTTTTCTTTTGTCATCTTTATTTATTTTTTAAATTTTTAGATCTTTCCTAAATTTGAAAGCCCTAACAAAATTTAAAAAATTAATAAAATTCAATAAGGCAAAAATTATATAATACTATTATTTGAAAAAAATGGCTTTCCGCCTAACTCAACAAATCACTTTTGACTTTTTTTTTAAGTAGTTTTCAAATAGAGAAAAACTTTGTTAAGTCTTTTTTTATTGTTACCTTAATAAAGTCATAGCTATAATTTAATTTTTTAATTTTTTTTTAGATTTATTTTATATAAGATATTATAATGAAATCTAATAAATTAAAATACTAATATTTTTTTTATTTAAATGACCAAAAAATGGTTAAAAAATTTCAGCAAACCACGAATATTTTTTTAAGGTGTCTTATGACATATGTTAAGAAGAAGACCCACGTTAAGCGGTCATTTAGGAATATCATAAAAAGGTAAAAATTAATTTTTAACCATCTTCTTAAAATACTCCAAAATTTCACTTGGATGGTTGTGTGCAATTTTTTGAATAAATATTAATATTTATTTGTTAAAACATTTCAAAATTATCTAAAAATTTTGCGTCATTTTACCGACAATTGCCGGTCAATCTTTATGGCCAAGCCTGCCTCATTTATCACCATCCCCCAAACCTCACCTCAAACCTCTTTTTTCAGCGTTCATACTTTGCTCTCTCCCTTATAAACCCAATCCAACTGCTCTTTCTCATTCTCTCTCAACCTTTCTCTCTCTCTCTCTCTCTGATAGACAGAAAATTTTGATATACAATTTTTACTTCTGAATATCCATGGAGAGGAAACAAGCTGTGAAGATTGAGGACTCGATCCAACACTTTCCATTTTCCGATTACTATCCAGCGAGTACACCATTATCAAGCATGTTGGATTTCTCAAGTGAAGCTGAAAGAAGCTCATTCGGGTTCATGGACTTACTGGGTATTCAAGATTTCTCTCCTTCCTCCATCTTTGATACTCCATTTGTAGAGCAACAGATTCAGAGTTCATCAGCTCCTCCTCTTGCGGACTCTTCATCGGAGGTCTTGAATAACCAGCCCATGACTCCCAACTCTTCAACCATTTCATCGGAATCGAGTGGTGCCCCTAGTGGTGAACAGAGTAAACCAAATGATGATGATGATGATAAAGAAGAAAAGCACCAAAAGACCAAGAAACAGTAAGTTATTGTGATTATTAATTTTTTTTTTCTTCTCTTTTTATGGTTTAATGGTAGAGAAAAGAAAACCGATTTAAGACTATTTGGATTTGTGGGTTTTTTAGGTTGAAAGCAAGGAAAATGTGTGAGAAGAAGAAGCAGAGAGAGCCGAGATTTGCTTTCATGACGAAGAGCGAGGTTGATCATCTGGAAGATGGGTACAGATGGAGAAAGTATGGCCAAAAAGCTGTCAAGAACAGCCCTTTTCCTAGGTACCAAACACACACTTTACTTGTATCTTCAGCGCTTGTTTTTCTTTTCTTTAAATGGAACTCTGGTTCAATCTCTTGATGCAGCTTTCTCACTCAATTTTTATGGGTTTCATGGAGTTGGTTGATTCATTAATCAGAAATCATATAGATTGGAATTATCTAAATGAGTGTACTTTTTGATTTTTTATGAAATATGGATTAAGTATGAGTTGAGTTTAGAGTGATGTAATAGAGAGATGACGTGGCTTAAATAGAATAGTGATTTTTTAACTTTTTCCTGGCTTTAATTTTCTACTTAATAATTTACTTACTCATACTAATATTCTGGTAGAATTTCTAGCATTAATTTTCATTAATTTGTTTTTTATCTTGTTAAATTATGGGAAATTAATTATTATAGATTTATGAAAAAAATTTATAAGAATCTAACTTTTTTCTAGTAGTATAATTATTACATTTTAAAAATATTAATTATAATTATTAATATTTATAAAATTTATCACTTATTTGTAATTATTTTTTGAAACTTACCTTTACTGGAATTTCACCTTAAAATATTATCCGAAAATGAGATGTAATAATAATGAGATGCAATAAGATGTAATTAAAAGTTAGTTTTTTGATCTATTTTGAATCACATTATTTTTTATAATTTTAACATACGAAAGGACAAAAAAAAAAAAAAAAAAAAAAAAAAAAAAAAGGGTAAAAAAAACTAAACTTTTAATTCACTTTCCAATCACCCCTATATTGTGTATTGATGAGTTTACACTTCTTTTTACGTACTATCCCGTCTTGTTCGCAAAAAAACAAATAGGGTGAAAGAATAAAGTGTACAGAAACATATAGAACAAAATACAAAAGAAAATGAGGTGAAATAATTTAAACGAGGACCTCCACAAGCAGTAATATTCTTATTTGGTGCAATTTATAAGAAATATTTATAAGGGTTTTTTTTCCCTTAATTTTAAATTATGTATTAGAGTGTCTGTACAGTTTTAGCTTACAACTTATGATATATAAATGATTTAATAAAAAAAAAGTGATTACCAAAAAAAAATGTTTTATACTCTTATTTTCTGCAGCTGACATACTCAAATTATAAATTAGCAATTATTTTAAAATTTTAAACTATTAAAAAATGAGTTTAATAATGTATATATCAAGCTAAGAAGACCTTTGACTTATTTTTAAGCCTCCATTTGGAAAGTGGGTTGGCTTTTTGACTTTTTGACTATTTTAGCTTGGGCTATTTTAGCCTGGTTTGGGAAGTGGCTTTTTGACTTTTTTGACTTTTTTTGTGAGAGAAGATTGTAATGATTATGGGTTGGATTTGATGTTTTGTTTTTTGTGACAAAAATAGCCAATTTTGTTTTTTGTGACTATTTTAACCAAAAAAGTCTTGCTTTTTTTCTTTCCAAACGGAGCCTAAAACGCTTACAATGGGTTGTGTTGAATCACATGGGCAGTTAACAACTCTCCATCATTTTTTTATGGTCCTTTTTTGTTTTGTTTTGTATTTTTTATGTTTTTGTGTTTTTTTGTGCTTATTTATTTATTTATTAAATGCGAATGCAATTTGGACTTATAAGTACATTGTTTTGTGTGGATTCTCAGAAGTTACTATCGTTGCACCACAGCTACATGTAATGTGAAGAAGAGAGTGGAGAGATGTTTCAATGATCCAAGCATAGTTGTCACCACATACGAAGGCAAACACGCCCATCCAAGCCCCATCATGCTCCGCCAGACCTCCTCCGCTGCCACCGGACTCCCACCACCGCCACCGCCACCACCACCACCTTGTCCCGGCTTCTCTGCCAATGCCGCCACTTTCGCTCCTCCACTGCAGCCGATGCAAGTGCCATTCTTGTCTCATCAATCCCAATTCAGAAATTTGGCTCATCAAATGAACTTGGGTTACTTGAATTACATAAATCCCAAGTGTGAAACAGACTATGCCCTTCTTCAAGATATTGTGCCATCGCTTGTTACAAAGGAAGAGTAGACATGATGACAATTTCGTCACTAATTTTAAGGCAATTTTTGCTGACTCTGATGTGGTGATACCTCTTTGTACAAGAACAACTCACTTTGATATGGGTTTTTGATCAAATGGTGGTACTGGCTTATGATTTTTTTTTTTTTTTTAAATAAAGCTATACATACCAATTAGTATCCTCGTTAATATGACATAAGTTTAGAAGTTTATATTTTTATAGTTTATATAATAGATGTGGTTTATAATTTTGAAATTGTAATGTTATAACATATGTTGGTATATTAATTGGTATATCTATTGGTATATATAACACTATTATATTTTTTTTAGTTTAATATTTATGGATCTATATGATCGTAGGCTATATAAAAAAGTGTAGGGTTTATATTTCTCCTTTCAAAAATTTTATTCCACCTCATTTGTTCCACATCTTTTGTTTCTGTTGGGGAATGGAATGTGATTTAGGGATAATCGGTCCTCTCCTCTGTCAATTTTTTTTCCAATAATATAATTACTTTGATTTTTGTCTTGACATAATTTGAAGTGTTTCAAGTTAAAAATTAAAGTAAAATAATATTATTCTATTTTAAATTGCATGTTCAAAATTTAATTAATGTTGTTTTGTTTTAATTTTTTAATTAAGTGGCTAAATTTTTTAGAAAGAAATAGCTACACAGAATTAAACATTCATTCCACACCCAAGTGATTTTATATATATATATATATATTAATTATCAAAATTTATTTAAGATGTAACTAAAATTAACCAGTTACCTAGTAAAAAATATGCATAGGAGACGGGACCATAAAGTTATTAATATAATAGATGGGGTTTATAATTTTGAAATTGTAATGTTATAGCATATGTTGGTATACTAATTGGTATATCAATTGATATATGTAACACTATTATATTTTTTTTAGTTTAATATATATGGATCTATATGATCGTAGGCTATATAAAAAAGTGTAGGGTTTATATTTATATATATATTAATTATCAAAATTTATTTAAGATGTAACTAAAATTAACCAGTTACCTAGTAAAAAATATGCATAGGAGACGGGACCATAAAGTTATTATTACAAGTAATGACCCACTTTTATTCTAAGTTGAATAATTGGCTCTGCAACACGACCACCTCTCATTGAAATTCAACGAACAAATAATCAACTATTTATGGATGGGTTAAATTCATTGAACGTTGTCGAACTGCTAAAACATGCGAACGCCCAAAAAGTGCCGAAAAGAAAGGAAAAGAAAGATATGATATGATCAGAGAGGGAGAGAATAGCAACTTTAATTTTGTAACATCAGATGTGCTACAGCCCCTCACAACCCCACGCATTTGAGAGAGAGAGAGGATAGAAAAAAAATATATAATAGATGATCACCAATTAATCGAGGGTCACAAAATTTGACGGTCTCAATCATTTTTGTTGTAACATAAGATGAGATTTTGTTCATATTTGTGAAAGCTTTTTACATCGCCTTCCCATACCCAACCAACACATTGTGTTTGATTTGAGTTTTCTGGATTAAGTTTTCTTTATTTTCGTATTTTTTTGTTTTTAGTGAATATTTTTAAACATTTTAAACATTTTTTTACTTTTTTAGATGCACCTTACTTAGATGTGTCTAAAAAGTAAAAAAATTATGAAAAAAAATATTTTAAAAAATTAAGAAATACATAAAAATATAAAAAATATACTAAATTCTTATTTTCGTATTTTTTTGTTTTTAGTGAATATTTTTAAAATTTTAAACATTTTTTTTACTTGTTTAGATGTACCTTACTTAGATGTGTCTAAAAAGTAAAAAAAATTATGAAAAAAATATTTTAAAAAATTAAGAAATACATAAAAATATAAAAAATATACTAAATTCTTGTATTTTTTTTATATTTTTGGTATTTAGTGAATTTTTAAAAAAAAAATTTACAATTTTTTTTACTTTTTAGGTGTATTTATGTTAAGTGTGTCTAAAAAGTAAAAAATTTGCATAAAATATTAAAAAAATTCAGTAAAAACAAAAAAACACGGAAAATAAGAGTATATAATTTTTTGAAAACTGTTTTTAAAAAATGGGAACGAAGCATTCATGTGTGATGGTGTTTGGGAGCTCTTAGTCTTTGTTTGGCATGATCTAAAAAAGATAAAAAGTCAAAAAGTCACAATCCTATTTAAGTCACATCATTTTATTTAAATCACATCAATTCTCTAACACATCACTTCAAATCCAACCCATATTTCATAAAAAGTTAAAAAATACACTTATTTAGATTATCCCAAACCTTATTTTTAATCTTTTGGTATTCTTTCATTTTAATCAATGTCATGACTTTCAAGTGTTTGATAAAATCGTATTTGGGTCTTGAGTATGAGTTTTAATTCTCGTACCTACATCGCCGACTAATCGCTAGCGTCCATGAAACTAGTGTTGCAAATTGCCAATTTTTTTTTAATATTTTTATTCAAAACACTTATTTAAATTTTGTGTTTAATTTGAATTAAATTTTTATATTTCTAAATTTATTGATCCATACAGACATGGACTCTCACAATCACCCACCCACCGACCCACTATCCCGGCGCCGAAACACAGACAGAGACATAAGCACAAGAGAAATTGCAAGCAAACAGCTCATTTTAAAATGAGTATCACGTTTGCTATTCTGTGCATTCTTTGGATGCAAACCCCCCTCTGGCTTCAATTGGCATAAAAATTCTGGGATAAAATAAGTTAAAAAGTTAATTAAATAAAATATTACGTTCAAATCATAATTATTATTTTTTTTTTTTACAAAAATCAAAAAAATTATCTCAAACCTAAAATCGTCAAAAAGTAAAAAAAATTAAAAAGCTAACTCACATATCAATTTTTTTTTTTTATAATAATTTTATTTTCATATTCACAGCAAAGATACCCAAACCTGGAAGTGGGCTTACCGTGGTCCTTGGGCCATCTCGCAACCTCTGTGTCACATATTTATCTTGAAAAAATATATTGTAAGTTTGATTTTGGGAATAATTTTTCTTTTAAATAAATATATATGATCATATTATTACTTATTTTTAATTAATTTAATTTTCTTATGAATAATTATTTTGATAAATCATATGAAGCCAAATAAATAATTTAGATTATCAAAATAAATCTATAATAGGCTCATTAAGAGTCAAACCAACTTTATAAACATTATGTTCTCCCAAACCCACACAGTGAAAGAGCCAAATAACCGAAAAAAACTACGTACATAACCATTCTAAGGTGGTGCCATCACGTAATATTTATGATTATGTTTATGTTTATTTATTTATAATTAAAAAAAAAAAACATGATTAATACACACGTATGTTTTAAAAATAAGTGAAATAAAGTAGTTAGAGATGGTTGTTGGCTTGAGGCAATAATCAAAAGTGATTGTCGATATTTTTTGTTGTACCTAAAAAAAATCAAGTAATTGTCGATGGCTTGAAATGGTGGTTAACCATCAGAAGTGATTGCTATCAGGGAAGTGATTGCCGAAAGAGGTCATCAAAGATAGTGAACCAAGAAAGCGGTGGCAGGTAATGGTGATCAGCCATTAGTGATGGGTGGAGAGAATAAAAGATGGAGAATTTACTTTCTAAACAAATGAAACAGCTTCTTTTCTTTTTTTTTTAAATAAAGAATTTAGTAAATTTTGTATGTACTCTCTCTATCTGTTGGCTATATATTTTATACAAGCCAATCACAATATGAAACGTGGTTCATAAGGGAAAGTTTGGGGAGTCAGTAAAGGTCTTCAGTCATCAACAAACATGTGGCAACTCGTATCAATGGCGATAGATCTGCGAGACACTAGAACAATCAAGATGTGCAGGGTGACGTGGCCAAACGGTTGCTTACAATTTAAATTCAAATTCAATGGAAGCAAACTATTTAAAGTCATGTTCAGTGATCATGGAGATTACCCCAGCAGTTATCACCCACTTCGACGGTTATCAACAGAGTCAATAAATAAAGGAGAAGGCTAATAGTGAAAGGGACCAGAACCACATTCAAAAACCAGTTTATTTACTTTACATTTTTCTTTATAGTCCTTGATTTTCCAATCCTTTGCTTTATTGCACTGCATTTCAAATTTCTAAGGATAGTTCTAAGTTAGTCTGCTGCTGTAACCAGGGACGAAACCAGGATTTATACACTGGGGGGCCAAGTCGAGACTAGGCATACATGTATGGGTCAGATTAAGTCTCAAGTCTCGATCCAAAACGGTTCATACAGAATGATAGAAAATTTTCATATAGAATGATATGATTTATAAACTTTTTACTTTAAGGTTAAACACTTGTGAAGATAACTTTATTTTATAAATTTTGTTTTAATATTTTTTTGTTTATACATATGTATATTAAACTACTAATTAAAATGATTGACCAACAAAATTAGTTCCATGTTTGTTCATTAATCACTCAATAGTAAAACAAATATAAACAACAAACTTTTACTGCTATCTCGAACCATTTGGGATTGACTAATAAAATGAATAAATTATTACTTTTACTTCATATCATGTTACTGTCCTACAAAGAGAAAAATGGTTGTTAGAGAATGGAGGGGGGCCACGGTTAGGTATTTGCAGGAAGTAGTTATACAATCCATAACATTCTAAACTGAAGCTTGAAAGCCGGGGGGGCCACGGTCACCTATGGTCTCGATATAGTTCTGTCCCTAGCTGTAACCCCCTTCGAATCTATAAAAGTGCGAAGGTATATCGTAAACTCTTGTTTACTTAATGAAATTCGATTTCTGACACTGTTTCTCCCTCTTTCTTTTACTTTTGTGATTAGTTTTCTGAATTTTCTCCTAAAACATGCCACTAATAAAAGTCCTCTTTATTGAGACTAAATTTTTTTTTGAAGCAATCGTCTGATTAACTAGTTGACATTTACTATCTTTGTAAGGACTTATTGATATTTGCTAATACACTCTAATTACATTTCTAACCTTTGAAAAAAAAAAAAAAAAAATCAACACTATCCTATTTTAATAGTCTCTTTTGAGAATTTATAAGGAGACAAATAATTATTACACTTGAATTTAAATGAAAAATGCCTTAGACCCTATCATACCCACTGTTTTTTGATTGGTCCATATATATATATATATATATATTTGTCTTTCACT